GCATTGCTGATCCCGTATGAAGTGTCGAGGGTGGGGGGCTCGGCACCGAAAGGATAATACCGGTATGTTGGATATGACAGCTTTTACGTGCTCAGTACAGTACTAGTACAATGCTAGCACTTGGTATGTCTCTCTCTTGCTTCGTCTCCCGTGCCGGTTGTCTATGCCGGAGGCAGCATAAGATGTTCTGTGCCTTCAATACTCGAGTATTCCTATTATTCTTCAGCCGCAACTGACGCGGCAGATAGATTTCCAGCTTGATAGCGTGGTCGCCGCCAAGTTATGATAGCGAAAAGATCTACTCGAGTACTCGAGCACACCCATCAATGAACGGTTATCTGGCGATTGACTTTCTGGATCGCGGCACACTCGAGCAAGGCTCCCGACGCCACACACAACGGTTGAGACGATTGTTGCCGCAAATTACCATAACGTGTACTGTACGGTACCGTAGCTTGTGTTCAAGGCCTCCCAAGCCTGGCAGTCAGGGATTCGGAGTTGCGGTCAGGCACACCAATAAGCACGCATTGCCGAGACCAGAGTTCCCAAGACATTATAGGAGGCTCGGGTTACCGTACCGAGATCTCCCGCCATCGGCACCACCGTGAGGGCTTTTCGTGGCTCATTGGGCGTCAGCCTCACCCTGCATTACGATCCTTTCCCCTCCCACAAGAGAAGTCGACGTTTTAGCCCCACCATTGAAACCCGTGGTTTGCCGTGACCCATGCGAAAAGGATAATACCCACAGCATATCGGTACTTGAGTACTCGACTCGCACTGTACGAGTACTCGAGTAATGGCCTTTCCCTTCCAAGTGGGAAAGGAGTCGTACCGATACTGGCCACGCGGCTATCGAGAGCAGGACCCGACAAATGAGGCGTTGAGAAAGCGTCTCGGTTGGTTGTTCCCAAGGGGGCGGGGCGTCCAAGAAATTGCCACCTCTTTCCCTTTTTTCTTCTTCTCGTTCACCCCCCCCCCGACGCCCATAAGCTGGGAGGAAAAAAAGGAAACAAAAAAGGGATCAAGTTAAGCTTATCCATTTGCCACAGTTTTCCAGGATTTCGCTTATTTACCGAGCAAATCTATGGTAGCACGCCAGGCCCTGGTTAAATATATGACATCGACGCTCACATGCCCTGTTGTCAACTGTGAGTTTAAGATGGGAAACCTGTTTGATAGGCACATAATTTACCGCGCATCAAACGCTAGACATGACCCGATCGGTTCTCCTCGCTTTTCACCGTCAGGGATGGCAATGAATCCAAGGGGCTGACTACTATACTGGTAGCTAGATCGCCGGGCCTTTGATTTGATGACCCACGATACCCGGTGCCGGTACTCAGGACAGCAAAACCCCATTCGATCTGGAAAGAAATTCCGACCAGATCGGGAGCGGGGGTTCGAAGGCCTCTCTTTAACATTGCTTTTTTCCCCACTCAGACATGATAGCTCGGGAATCTCTGCTGACGACGCGACGACGACGAATTGATCACCTGCCCACTCACTCACTCGTAGCGCCCACAATAACCAGCACATTTTCTTTAGCCTTATCCCTAACTTTATCACAAGCGCAAAACTCACATTCGAGGCATTCAGCCCCGGGCTTGGAAAACGTTTATGCAAGCTTTTTGATTCAAGGACTTTGGTGTGTAGATCCTCCTGCTTCAAGTTCCTCGGAATTCCGGTTCAAGTGCATACCTGTAACTTACCGCTACTCGTACTGTACCCTACTGCACAGCGGAGATGGCACCAAGAGGGAAAGAACGAAAACACCCGTACCGAAAACCGAACATGATGAAGTAGCAAAGCGCTGGGGGGGGGGGGTGCTGAATGTAGAGGGAAAAACAAGAAAAAGAAAAGAAAAGGAAAAAAAGCAAGGCTCCGTAGATCTCAAGGGCACCAACTCCCTATTCCAAGATTCCCGTTTCGTATCCCTCGTTCCTATCCCGAGGGATTCCACTGGCACACATCCGATAACTTGGTCTACTCTACTGTACTCGTACATACAATAACGAGAGTGAACCTTCCGGCACATATCTGTAACGCAGTTACTCCCTCACTCGTTGCTCCCTCCGAATCCCACACCTCCTCCCCACCCCTCTTCCTCCCCAAACCTAACCTAAGCACTCGAGCAATCCCTTTCCCCCTCCCTCGCAGCTACCATTCGCCACCCGCCACGAAGCAGGCTTTCTATGATACTCACTCTACGGGAACTTTACTGTTATGATACCGCAAGTTGAGTCAACTACGGTGCCGTAGGTAAATTCAAGCTTCGGTTACCCGGCCAGCTACCCCAACTAATTGTGGTACAGTCCAACGCCCACTCCTGTCATGGATTGGCATGGTAGCAAAAAGAGAAAAAAATCAGGATTCCCATGTTGGCTCCTTAATGGGATTTCAAGGATTTGAAACTTTTCTTACCTTCCTGCTTGCTCTCATGGTCCGCTGATGATAAAAACAAGTAAAAAAATCTTGACCTTATGGCAGTACCGACAGCACGCCAGACCATCCCTGGATAGGCGGTGCGGATCTCATTCAGGATGTGATGTGGACATGGGCGGGTTTGGGGTCCGGCCGCAAGGTGGCGGGAGGTGTACTTAGGTACAGCGCTCGAGTACTGTGAGGTACCGCTCCTTATATTGTACCGCGTAAGTGCCGTAGTAGCACCTGTGAGTAGATCATACTCTTTGATTGGTGAGGCGCTACCGTATTTCATTCAATAAATAACTGGACCGTAGCATTTTAAATAGTGTTGGCGATGTGTATACAGTACTGTACTCGAGTACCGCAGATATCGTAGGATGGGCGAGTCAATTCGATGAGGATAATAGTCTATCTGTTTCCACGCTCCTCACGCTGGGAAGAATTCTGTTCCTCTCTATTTCTCTTGCAGTGTCATATTTTGCGAGACGGATTATGGCGGGTCCTTCTCTTAGGAGCAGAATTGGCAAGTTAGGTGTCTGATTCCTTTTTTACCCGACGCACAGCACTTGCACAAGAACTCAGTCGGGATTTTCCCGGCTTCCGGAGGTCCTCGCTTCCACAATGAAATTCTTACTCGAGTGGGGTCCGTATCAATGGGCATCATTTCAGCACCAGTACGCGGCGGCGGTGGAATTACTACAGCAGTTCAATGGCTGATCACCAGGAAAGAAATTCCTAGGAATAGGAAGAAGAAAAAGGGGGAGAGAAGGATCCTGGAATACTTGTTCGGTTGGTTGGTCGGTATACGTCTTCTGGAAGAATCTCTTTTTTTTTTCTTGGGGTATAGACTTTTGATGACATTGTGCTTCCGGAAGAATCTCCACCGCTGATGCTTTTTCAGAGGGGTTGGAGGTTGGGCTATGTATCGTACCGTGATCGTAATTGTGTCAAATGGAATCGGGCTCATCGGATCTTTAGCTGATTAAGGTCTCACGATCCATACTCGAGTACTTTGAAAGGGGAGCGGGAGAACTAAAGCTTAGTACTCGAGTACCTGTATGGTGTTGCCTTGTGCAGCCTAGCCTAGCCTATAGATGCATTTCAATGGACTCCCTTCTCCCTCTCTCCCTTCACTGCAGTACGGTGGACGTATGATATTCGATATCACCTTTCATAATATTATCGCACAAGGGTACCCCCCCCCTCCTTTCTGTCCGT